AGGTGCCCCAAGATTTTCTTTTCTTTTCAAGAAATCTCTACCCCCAACGTGGGGCTCAAACCCACAGCCCCAAGGTCCAGAGTTGCATGCTCCATCAACTGAGCCAGCCAGGTGCCCCTTGAGAAGAATTTTAGAGCAGAGTGGCAAGTTGGAGACAGTAGGCATGTTGGCCACTTGAGAGAAAGTATCTTTGAGAGTGTTATTTTATACAGATGACATTTGCGTGATAATTGTTTCCTTATTCTTAGGAACAGAGCCTATTGACCACTGAAGGATGTTAAGAGTTGTTTGCTACTGCAGCACGGTCTACTGAATGCATTATGACTGATCCAGTTATGTTTATGAACTGCTCATTTCATAAATGAGGAAAAGAGACCCTGAAAGATTAAAAGCTTTATCCAAACTCTCAGTTACTCAGTGTGGGGATCAGCGATCAGGACCGAGCTTTCCTGATGCATCAGATGCACAGATTTTCCAAAGGACAACAAAAATTATTTCTGGAGTGAGCAGCACATGTGCTCCCGATAGCATTTATTTTCTTTAAGGTCATGCGTGTGTTTAGAAGCCATAAATCATGGAACTTGACCATTTGAAAGGTAGTTTACCCTTTTGAGAACAAGTAAGAAGCAATACTTGTCTTTTGAAAGTCCCAGTCAATCAGAAGTATTTTTGTGGTTATTAAATTTTGCCTCTGGCGAGCCTACTCACATGGTTAGATAAGAATCTCAGGTGTTATTTTTCAAGTTTGAGTGATATGACTAATCAAGTCAGTTAGGAAAACCATCAATCAGAAAACTAAATAGCAATAAAACAAGATAATAAAAAACTTATAATAGACAAACATAGTCACACAAATATTAAATCCCTCAGAGTGGTTTTGTGAAGAGAAGAGACTGACTTACAACCCCAAAGTGTCTTCTTATCATCTGGAGTGCTTTTTTCTTAGTCACCCCATGATCTTTCCCATCTCCAGCTTCCTCATCTACCTCTCTGATAATTCATTCTGTCAGCTTATGAATTCAGATTCTTCACTTCTCTACTTCACTGTATCTGACTTCACTTCCTGGTTAGCCACCATCCAGTCTTCCACTTCCCTTTCTCATTCATGTCCTTAAAGTTGCTGTTCAACCTTTTTTACTTCCTTAGCTTCCAGTCACTTCTTTACCAATGCTAATCCTTACATCCTTCTTTCTTTCCTTCTTTCAATACATTGAACCTTGAATAATATTTAATGAACACCCAAATAATGATCTTTTGGATTCAGTGCAGATATGGTGTTTGCTGTGACGGAGCAACAGTCTAGTGGGGAATACAAACAAATTGCCATATACCTGTAGTGTGGTAAGTGTCCCACATGTCATAGAAACACTTAAGAGAGGTATCAAGCCCAGACTCAGGTAGTCAGGGAAGCCTTTCTGGAGGAGTTAACTATTAATGTTTATTTTTGAGAGAGAGAGAGAGCGCAAGCAGGTGAGAGGGCAGAGAGAGGGAGACACAGAATCTGAAGCAGGTCCAGGCTCTGAGCTGTCAGCACAGAATTTGACATGGGTCTCAAGTTCCTGAACCATGAGATCATGACCTGAGGCAAAGTCAGATGCTTAACCAACTGACTAAGCCACCCAGGAGCCCCTGGAGGAGTTGACTATTATCTTTAGACTAAAAGAATGAGGGCAGCTGAGGGGTGCCTGGGTGGCTCAGTCAGTTAAGTGTCCAACTTTGGATCAGGTCACGATCTCACAGTGTGTGAGTTCCAGCCCCACATCGGCCTCTGTGCTGACAGCTCAGAGCCTGGAGCCTGCTTCGGATTCTGTGTCTCACCCTCTTTCTGTCCCTCTCCTCCTCCTCCTCCTCTCTCTCTCTCTCTCTCTCTCTCAAAAATAAATAAACATTAAAACAAATTTTAAAAAAAGAATGAGGGCAACTGAGAGAGCAGCCTAGAAAAGAAGGAAAATCTTTAATGCTCAGAGGTGTGAAAAAGTGTGGGTGGTGTGTTGAAAGTAAAGGAAAGAAGTTCAGTCTGACTGAAGTGAAGAATGCATGGTAGTAGGTTGGGGGAAACTCTGAGAAGGGTCAACTCATGCAGGGTGTCAGAAGTCGTGTTAGAAAGTTTGAAGAATCAGGACCTATTTTGTGTTCTAGTAGGGTCTCTCTGACCATTGCATGTATAATGTACAGAAAGCAGCCAAGTGTGAATTCAGGGAGATGAGTTAGGAGGGTTTGGGCTGCTGTCCAGGAGAGAGGTATTGGCATGAATTATGAATGATAAAGGGAATGGAGAGCTGTGAAGGCATTTGAGAGATATGTATAAAGTAGAGTAAGTAAAACCTGCCCATAGATTAGATCAGTGGTTCTCATCCAGGCTGATTTTGACCTCGAAGGGACAGTTGGCAACGTTTGGAGACATTTGGAGGTGGAGGCCAGGGATGCTGCTAAACACTATATGATACACAGGACAACTCCCATAACCAAGAATTATCTTTGTTAAAGATGGTGACCAAAATGTCAGTAGTAGTTGGGTTGAGAAACCCAGGCTAAGGATAACTTGATTATTTGGATTATGAAGCTATGTCCAAGAAATTATTATTCTCTTTTAAGTTTATTTATTTATATTGAGAGAGAGAGAGGGAAAGAGCATGCACGGGCATGCACAGGTGAGGGGCAAAGAGAGAGGGCGAGAGAGAACCCCAAGTGCTCTCTGCACTATGAGCACAGAGCCCGGTATGGGGCTCCATCTCACGGACTGTGAGATCATGACCTGAGCTGAAATCAAGATGCTTAACTGACTAAGCCCCCCAAAGTCCCCTTCATGGAGTTTTTGATTTGCTCTTCAGTGTTGTTCTTAGTAAAGAAAAATGAAAATGTTAACTTACTAGCATAGTTTACCATTCATCTTTACATCCTACAGTACCACTTTTGAACACAAATGTGAGTGTTGAATTCACATGCAGAATCACTGGAGCTTATGCATGCATATGTATTTCATTTCACCAGAACAGGGAAACCCTGCACCAAAAAAACTCCACTGTTTTCACTTCGCTTCTTGATGTACGCACTTCTGTCAACATTCTCTATCTTCTGCTTCCATGAGTAAGAAAAGATGGAGAAGAAAAGGAATAGTGGGTAGCCCTGTCTTTCTCTTTTCCTCCATGTCATGATTTTCAACATAAGTGGTTGGCTAGTAAAGTACAGAGACATAACCTGAGTAGGAAAGGATCTAGGAATCCTCAGTCCTTTGGGTTTCTTAGAACACCAGTGCTTTCTTTCTGCATTTGAAGCAAGTTCTGGTTTGAAAGGAAAGTACAGCCTCTCTCAGGAGTGAGAGCCTTCCTCCCCTACTCCCATGCTTACTCAGTTGTAGATGTAACATAACTTACACTCACTCCGAGTCTCACTCTGACACATTGTGAGTCTACCAGAGTTTGCGTGTCTAATACTACGTGTGTCCATGGGAAGGCTGAGAGTCGCAAACACACATTGTGTGTGTATCTCCTCTGCTTGTGTGCATGCTCTATCGTTCCTTTGGCCTTCGCTTGCAAAACACAAATTCATCTAACAGATGAACTTGTTAGAAATTTTAAGACCGTGACAGCTGAAAATTCTATGCTTCTGGGTGCCAGATTATGTGCGATTGCAGAGGGTGCACACTGGGAAAGCTGACCCTGCCTAACGCGGTTGTCCTGGTACTACTTGATTCTCCTTCTTTTTCACCATCACCCACCTTCATATCTAGCAGCCACTAGAGAGGGGAGGAAGAGAGAAATAACAGGTTACCGCGGGCTGCTGAACATGATGGGTTAGATGGTAGCCCTATCCAGAGAGATGACCTCCTATCTCACCCCACCAAGACCTGATTCTTCCTTGGCTGTCACCAAGTACTAAAAGCTCCTGCCCTGAATTAGGAAACTTAAAATCTGTATGACATTCATTCCAAGTTGTACAGTGATACAAATCATTGCTAAGACAGAATCATTTATGTCTTTTCTTCCTGAGTAACAATTTTTCAATGTAAAGTTTCTCTGTCTCTGTATGTCTCCCTCTCTCTTTCTCTCTAGAGTGATTATTTATAATCTCACCATTCACATATAATGACTGGGTACTTTTTAATTTTTTCTCTTTATATGAACTATGACTTTATCAAAACAAACCTTACTATATAAAGTACTTTGTAACTTACTTTTTAATTAAATATTGTTATTGTGAATTTATTCCCAAATCAATAAATATGTATCAAATCATCACTTTTAATACCTAGAAATGTTTCATTTTATTGATAAGTCAAAATTTATTTAGCCAATCCCTTATTGATGGGCAAATAGGTTGGTTATAATATTTGGCCTTTATAAATATTTCTCAAATATCCTTTTATGTGTATCTATTTATTGCTATTAGTATCATCATAATAGTATGATTACCTTTTTCTAAAACCTAGAAACTGAAATTGCAGGAAGATGCATAACTCCTTTTTTGAGAGAGAGAGAGAAAGGGAGAGAGAAAGCAGAGAATGGGCAGAAAGAACCCCAAGTCCTGACATGGTGCTTGATCCCATGAATTATGAGCTCATGACCTGCGCCAAAATCAAGAGTGGGATGCTTAACTGACTGAGCCACCCAGGCGCTCTGGGAGATGTGTAACTCTTAATTGTCAAATTTTAAGGTTGTGTAACAACCTCTTAGAAGCCACAGATGTTAGTGAAGTATTAAGATAAATAAGAACCCATATTCTTCACTGCCATTTTTTCTATAAAACCTTCCCTACAGCAGTGATCTTCATGTCTTCTTGGCTCCAGGAGCCCTTCTGGTGGATGGATATTACTTCTTACCCTTTAGAGTGGCTCAGTAGCCATTGGGCCATTCTGACTTCCCACTTACTATGGTCCAGCAATGTACCACTGAAAACCAATTATACCAGAGACTCAAACAGCTGGACCAGAATTTGAAGCTGTGATTTTGATACATGTTCATTCATTTTTCCATATAAAATGCTTGCATTGTATCTTTCAGATGTATTTCCATTTTTTTTGTGGAGTTCCAGACATACTTCACTCAGGATTATGCACAGACAGCTTGGATCCATTCCATTGTAGACTGTGTGACCATGCTCTGTGGTGAGTATCACCAGGGATAGACAGTTGTTGGTTACTCTTGAGCTGTACATGACACTGGCCTTCCACTGCTTCTGTTTACCAGCTTTTTCCGAACGGAAGGGCTTTGCTAAGAATTGGCTAAGACTATATAAAAAGAGAAGACCAATCCTACCTTCAGGCAAGCCCAACCAGACATGCCCTTGGAATGAATGGTCTTTCCTGATGGCAGATAGAACAGGTAGTTAACACTCTCAGAAAGACATATACCGTTTGGTTCTCGCATATAGAGATAGGGTGCTGGGCATCACAGGACTCATCCTGATTTGGGAAACAGTTAATCATACAGTATATGCTTGACCTCTCTTTTCTAAATGCTATGGTCCCTTATTCTCCAGTCATGAAAACGGTCATTGGATAGAACTGTGAGCCCTTCCTATACGATCTCCTTAAATGAGTGCCAACAATGTGTGCCTTGCATCTCAAGTCTTGTTTTTATTCTGTTGCCTTCCCAGAGGTTCAAAATTTGTCTCATGGATTTTGTTTTTCATGCACAAGTCTTCATTCTTAGAGAAGTATGAGGGAAGGATAGGATTGTGCAGTCATGAGATAAGCACACTCACCATCACTATAATTTCATTCCGGAAACCCCAAGGGTACTGTAGAGGGTGTATAGAGTAGTCTCAAAATTCATGGAATCTCTCAATCCATCTATGTAGTAGAGGAACGCTAACCTTGAGATTTTTCTTTTTGAACATTTTATACCAAAGTTATTCAATGAATGTCTTAGAGAGTTTCTGACACTGGGACAAGTTGAAACGATCTACTTGCAGTCTAGACCCATTCAATCATTTCATTTAAATGAATCCTTAGTATTAAAAAAACAGGCTATGTTTTTGTGGAAAAAAGAAAATACCATATTATTTAATGACTTATAAATAACATCAACTGATTCCATTCTAGGTACTGATTCATACTTATTTTTAGGAAAAAAAATGGACATACTTGGGAATCAGTTAAATTGTGCTAAAATGTATTTCCTTTGTTGGGAGGAATTTGAGAGCAATTCTAGGACTAAGAGCAGGTTTCATGAGAAGACTAAGTTGACTCTGTCTACTGATAACCCTGGAAGGTCTTACGGGATCAAAAAAATATCTTTGGGTTTTCTACCCTGTTTTTATTTTAATCAGTAATACTTGGTTTTCAGGGTCATGTTATTAGTCACAGCCTTTGTATGAACATGCCAAGTGAGCCATGTTTGTCTTTCTCAGATGACACACACAGGTGACTCATTTCCCTCACTGTTATCTTTTGGAGAATATTTATAATCCCCAGAAGAGGACTAAATGGCCTTTGGTGACCAACATGATCACAATGACTGCATGATAAAGCTGGGTCATATTAGATTTTAAAACTCAAGGACTGGAGGCCATGCAAGGACTTGAGGCCTGTTGTATCCAGTTACCATGTACCCACCTGGTTACCTACCTGGCAACACCAGTCATATATAGGACACCCACTGGGGACGCTTTTCATTTGAGTTTAGTGTAAATTGAGTTTACACTTTTCATTGAGTTTAGTGTAAATTTTTCAACTTTCCAATAGCCATAGCAGCAGCAGCCTGGAGAATTAGATATATTCTCAGGAGATTTGCTCCTTCCTGTTCTCCAGAGATTATATATACACACAGCCACTGTTTTAACTAGACAGGAGACATCAGGCTGATGACTGGTTCTATCACATACATTTGAATCAGGCCCCAGTTTCAACTTGACCAATACAAAATTATATTCCACAGATACCCAGAGAACTTGCCCTTCTGATCTTCTTACTAGGAACACTGGTCTCAGCATGAGTTGTTCCATAGAAATAATTCTCAGGCTGTCCCCACAACTCTCTTGCCATCAGTCTGGCAGGAGTAACAGGCAGAAATAACCCTGAACTTGGTGTCAGGTGCCCTGAGCTATACTTCTTGACGATCTTGGACATGTCACGTTAACCCTGAACTTCAATTTCTCCTTGGTCTATTCCAGCTTTAATTCATATGCTATAAACCTGGAAGCCAGCACAATTATAACACATTGTTAAACCACAAATAGAGTGAGACCAACAAAAATGTCACTACAGATGTGAGGCATTTTCCTCGATTTTCCGGGTTTTGATTTCTTATCCACAGGGTTTCCTAAAGCCTGAAAACAGTACCTTATTGTGGAATGGTCTCCTTCCTTGGCCTTTTCGTGCATAATACTACTGGTCACACAGTGTTGCCCACTTTCCTTCTCTGGCAGTTAACTGTCATAATTATTGCTCACGGTGCATGATTAATACTATATGAAACATACAAGGTACATCCCTGTGTAAGTGACATGCAATTTAAATAAGGAGCTGATTCACTATTTTAAAAGCATCCCCAAGTCTTGGAATTGTGACTTATGCAATAGAATGGAGAAGCCAATGGGGCACGGAAATACAAGTCAGTAGAAACGATCCTAATTCCAGCTTTCCCACTTGTTCTCTGTGTGACCATAGACAAGTTATTTCCTCTCTCCTCAGTTTCCAAATATGTAGAATGGGCGGGATGGGCTTGATGCTGTAAAGGTCAATCATTCTCTGCTCTGTCAATGCAACACCACAGCCTTTTCACAGTGCCCTCAAGGCCTCTCTGTTGAACCTATTTATTATTGTTTTTAAAGCTCCACTTGGGAGTGTTGTCAGTAACCATTTATCCTGTCAAGTGGGAATCATGCTGGGTGGCTTGCTTGCATCGACTGGTCTCATCTTGAGCTCATTTGCCACTAGTCTGAAGCATCTCTACCTCACTCTGGGAGTTCTTACAGGTAAGGGCCTTCATACCACTCATCTCCCCACCCCCTTCAAGTGTTGTCAACACCTGAACAGAACTGTAATCCATAAAATAGTCATCTTGTTAGATGCGTAGTTTAAATTTTTTTAACGTTTATTTATTTTTGAAGAAGAGAGAGAGACACAGCATGAGCAGGGGAGGGGCAGAGAGAGAGGAAGGCACAGAATCCAAAGCAGGCTGCAGGCACTGAGCTTTCAGCACAGAGCACAACGTGGGGCTCGAACCCCTGAACCGTGAGATCATGACCTGAGCCAAAGTCAGATGCCCAACTGACTGAGCCACTCAGGTGCCCCATAGATGCATAATCTAGTTGACCTGGCTAATGCCTACCTACCTAGCAGTTAAAAGAGCTGGAAATGCAATTGATTGCACTTCTATAATGAAAATGTATCACCACTTGGATTCAGCCACATGATATAAGTAACTGCTGGCTTCCCCTCTGGCAGCAGTGGGTGGCTGAGATTCTTACTCAGAAGCAATGAAATATTAGCCAGGGCAACATAAATTTTCAGCAGCCATCATTCTCCCAACATCTTTGCCAAGACACTATCTGCACTTGACCTGAGTTGTCCCTGCTTTATAGTGAGGATCATCGTCCAATAAATGAGGGTTTACAATTTAAAAAGAAAGCCTCTCATTGTGAAGATTCTTACACTATACATTCTCTCTCAATGTGCTGGAAGTATACTTCAGAGAATTATAATGAACCCTGCAAGAAGAGAAGTAATCTATGTGCATTCCATTAATCACACCTAAGGGGACTGCATAGCATCAAGGTGGGGTCAGTTGGTGGCACTGGAGGGGCATTTTGCCCCCTCACTCAGAGGGATACGAAATAGCACTAACTCAGTCTGGGCCATAGGGGTAGAATGATCTGGTCAATGAAGGACATAGACTCATAGTGATTTTATAAATCTGGCTCTGTCTGCTAAAAAAAAAAAAAAAAAAAAAGGTATCTGTCCCATGTAACCCAAAGGGTCCAACTGCTAGAGTGTCCAGTCATCCCAATTTACCAAGGAGTACCCTGGTCTTAGCACTGAAAATCTTGTATCTGGGAAACCCATCAGTCCAGGCAAATAGGGATCATTGGCCACACTGCAGAGCAGGTGGGAATAAAGCTAAAGGTGGTTCTGTTTTTCCATTTAAATGCCATGAGTTCAAGGTTTTACACTGCTCAGATTTTCTTGACTTAAAAGGAATAGAAGCTGAAAATCTTTAAGAGGCTTTCTGCTGACTTTAAGGAATATGTTCAGGTTTCGATGTGCACATGCTGTGTTCATGTGTAACCTTGGCATGAAGTTTCCCAATTATATGAAATTACTCTGGAACTTTCATGGGATCATATATGCTATTTAAACCCAAATTCTAGAGCGGTCAGTGAAGAGTTGAAGTAATCCTCTGGATAATTTAGGATAAAAAGAGGCATGGGGCACCTGAGTGACTCAGTTGGTTAAGCGCCCGACTTCGGCTCAAGTCATGATCTCACGGTTCGTGGGTTCGAGTCCCGTGTTGGGCTCTGTGCTGACAGCTAGCTCAGAGCATAGAGCCTGTTTCAGATTCTGTGTCTCCCCCTCTCTGACCCTCCCCTGTTCACGCTGTCTCTCTCTCTCTCTCAGAAATAAATAAAACATTTAAAAAAATTTTGTTTAAAAAGATAAAAGAGGTATTGGGTAGGGAGAATAAGTTTCTTGGGTCAGCATTATCCTGATTTTCTAGTTCATTCAAATTCTGTTTGTGTTATGGTCTTTAAGCTCTCCATTTCATTTTAAGAAGCCATATTTTTTTAAGGTTTTCTTCCACAGAAGAAAGTCCTATATATATGCTATACTTTCCCAAACTGTGAATGACTGGTCAGGGAGATTCCTCTTCAGTTTGGTGTAGAAAGTAGTTTTAAAAGCGTTTGACAGAAGACCAGATTCTCTTTAATCCAAGTAAATGTATTCTGAGATATTTTGTTTTCTTGGCTGTTCACAGTGTACCAGCGCTCATAGACTTCTCTTCATCCTTAGGTCTCGGATTTGCACTTTGTTACTCTCCAGCCATTGCCATGGTTGGCAAATATTTCAGCAGACGGAAGGCCCTTGCTTATGGGATCGCCATGTCAGGAAGTGGCATTGGCACCTTCATACTGGCTCCAGTGGTTCACCTCCTTATTGAACAGTTTTCCTGGCGGGGAGCATTACTCATTCTTGGGGGCTTCGTTTTGAATCTCTGTGTTTGCGGCGCCTTGATGCGGCCTATTACTCTTAAAGAAGACCATACAGCTCCGGAGCAGGACCACATCTGTAGAACTCAGAAACAAGACTTTAAGCGAGTGTCTCCCTGTTCAACTTTGACTAAAAAATGGGTGCAGACCTGCCTCTGTTGCTCTTTGCAGCAGGAATACAGTTTTTTACTGATGTCAGACTTCGTTGTGTTAGCCGTCTCTGTTCTGTTTATGGCTTATGGCTGCAGCCCTCTCTTTGTGTACTTGGTACCTTATGCTCTGAGTGTCGGAGTGAGTCACCAGCAAGCTGCCTTCCTTATGTCCATACTCGGGGTGATTGACATTATTGGCAATATCACATTTGGATGGCTAACTGACAGAAGGTAAAATCCGTGAAACCACAGCTGGCGCTCTACCAGGGTACTCTCAGCTTTCCCTCCTTATCCCCTTACCCTGTAGAAAACCTACACCTGAGGGATGTTTATGGGTTTTCAATATCTGAAGGCAACCCACCTGCTGGTTCTTCTAGTCACTGGTTGGAAACCTTTTCCCGGAAAGAGGTAGACAGTAAACATTTTTGGCTCCGTGGGTCGTATGATCACAAGTATTCACTTCTGCTGTTGTAGCACAAAACAGCTATAGACAATATGTGAAGAAATGAGAGTGGCCATGTTCCTGTAGGACTTTACTGTGGATACTGAAATGTTAATTTCCCAAATAATTTTTACATGTTGAAATAATATTGTTCTTTTGACTTTTTTCCCCAACCACTCAAAAAGAGAAAACCCTTCTTAGTTCACAGATAGTGCAAAAACAGGTGGTGGTCTAGAGTTGGCCATAGTGCCTAAATAGTTGTTTTAAATGGTTCAGGATAGTGGGTATGTGTAAATTGCAGAAACCTGTGGTAACTACAAGTTCTGTAATTTCATTCCATCCCAAGTCAAGTCAGAGCTCAGGCTGGGTGTTGTGGTTTAAAAAAACAAACAAGAAAACAAAACAAAAACAAACAAACAAATAAACACAGAGGTTGGCTGGCAATGGAGAGAGAAACAGAATTCAGTCCAGGCAGGGAGATCAGATGCAATGATAACACATTATTTGTAGCCACATATTTGTGTTTGACAATGCAGATAGCAAATACTTTCAGTATGATTTTAGGCTTAGAAACTCAAGTTATAAGAAACCTACTAAGCAGTTTCTTAAGCTAAGGCTTACTGGTTGGATTGAAGAGAGTGAGATACTCAGATTCTCTTCACACTTGAGCTATGACCTGGGAGAGCAATCAGCATGTGGCTTCTCACATTTTATGTCTTTGGTACTTACTCAGGGTTCAACAGCCATTCTCCAGTGCTATGAATATAATATTTAAAATTAATTCCAAAAATTTAATGGTTAAGGAAAAGCAGGGAGAGCTGGGGTATCTATCTTGACAATCGACACAACAAGAAGCAGCCCAGTATAGGTTTGATTGAGGCATCTCTACTCAGGGTTGTACAAGACCTTAAGTCTTGTGCTGACTCTGCCCTTACCATCCCTGTGACCTAGGGAAAATCACGGACCCTCAGATCTTTAAGGGTTTTCATTTATAAAACAGGCCAGTACAGTATTTTTCTGTTGACCTCTTAGCATTTTGTGAGGCTCAAATGAGACTGTGGGTTGAAAAACATTTGTAAAGCATAAATGGCTGCTGATATTATACTGAGTCTTTGAAATAAATGGTATCAATGATGATGAGTTTGGAGCTAAAGAGGGAAAATGTAATGGAAGTACCACTGGGGAAGTCTTGAGATAAGACTTAGTCCTAGTACAAGACTGACATAAGCTCTGGTAAATCATTTTAATGTCTTCATATTCTAACCTCTTCCTTGTATAACTTGGGTTATTGACCATATATGATGTACTAGATACCCGTGGATGACATATCTGAACAAATCTAATATAGACTGCTAGAAAATATTAGTCTCCTGATACTTGACATGTTATTTAACAACTATCCTTAGGGTAACCATATGAGATAGGTAACCTTCCCATTATACAGCTTAAAGAAATTGAGATTAGAGTTAAGCAGTTAGTAGGTAATAGAACTGGATTCAAACTTCTGCCTTTCTAATTTAAGAGCATATTTTATGCCACACCATGTTTCCTGGGAAGATGAATTATTGTGTTTTTCTATACCAAAAGAAAGATAAATAGACAATATAGATAACACATCATGGGAAGCCTTCTCTATAAATAACTGCAATGCTTATCACTGCATGGCCATGGTTCTAAATCTCTTTGATAGAAGCTGTGCGTTCTGCACTCATTCTTGGTCTTCAAATCCACAGGTGCCTGAAGAATTACCGGTATGTCTGCTACCTCTTTGCCGTGGGACTGGATGGGCTCTGCTATCTCTGCCTCCCAATGCTTCAAAGTCTTCCCCTGCTTGTGCCTTTCTCTTGTACCTTTGGCTACTTTGATGGTGCCTACGTGACTCTGATCCCAGTAGTGACTGCAGAAATAGTAGGGACCACGTCTTTGTCATCAGCGCTCGGTGTGGTGTACTTCCTTCATGCAGTGCCATACTTGGTGAGCCCACCCATTGCAGGTAAGTTTCCAGAGAGATCTCCCAAACACCTCTTCTGTTTGTCATACTGATGTGAAAACAGTCAACTCACACACAGACCATGCGTATTGGAAGTTAAGTTGGGAAGAATGAAAGAGAAAAGGATTCATGAGCCATCAAAGTATCATAGTCTCACTTATATCCTTGTTTTATCATTTTCTTCCAACCAAGTAGGGACTTTAGCCTCCTTGGAAAGAAAAAGTCCAAAACTAGGGTCTTGATTCCATTCCACACTAATGATGGGAGCAATGGAATGGAGCAGCTGTTGAGACTTATAAGTGAGGCACATTAGGAGGGAAGTCTGGAGGGAGTACAGGATTCCACTTGGGGATAGTGGGCCATGAGGCTGAAATGGTAAGTGGGTGTCAGAGTGGAATGCCTGCCAAAGGACCTAAAGGGGCCCTATATTCTTAAAGACTATGGGTAGTATTACAGTTTCTGTGAAAAGGGGTAATGTGGTAAAGAAAATAGTTTAGAAGATGCAATCTAGCAATTGATCTGATACTTTAGGGGAGAAGCAGTTAGGATTCCATTCTAATAGTTCAGGAGCAAACTGATAAAGGTCTGAACCAAATGGAGATGAGCTCTGGGGGCAAGGAGAAAGTTTTGGGAAAAAATAGCAACTGAATTTAGCATGTGGGGGTGAAGGAAGAGAGAAAATTCAAAGATAATCTAGAAAATAATGGCATGGTAGAAAGAAATAAGGAAGTTGGAAAAAGTAGCTTTGCCAGAAAAAGAATTAAAAGTTTAGAAAGCATCAGATATCTGAAGTACCCAATAAAATATCTAACAGAGCTGTTTAAGGATGAAATCTGAGCTTTAGAGGGAGGCCAGATTTGGATTTAAAGATTTGAGGATCATCGGATAAAGCCTTTAGGATGTTTTGTAAACTGTAAAATGCTATAGAAATTTAAAGCATGATTAAACAAGTAACTTGACAAATATTTATTGCTTGTGTACACCAGCATTGCTTTTGGCGCTACCATGGCAGCAAACAGGTCAGAATCCCTCCCTCCTCCCTAGAGTAAGTGGTCTGGACCAGAGTTTCTCAAGATGAGGTCATGGGACCCCCTACATCAGAATCCCCTGGGGCCCTTGTTAAAAATGCAGATTCCTTGAGTCTCCCGTCGTGATCTGAATCTTTCCAGGAATCTACATTCTCAACCAGGTTTCCTGTTATGTCATGCACATCAAAGATCAAGAATAATGGGTTTCCATTATTACCTGCCTAAACTAAAACTGAAAGAGTGAAGATCTCTGAAGACAGACAAAAAAAGAAATGAGCCAAACAGTTTCCTAGAAGGAAAGAGGGGAATTTTTTGAAGAAGGCAGGGTTTCTGCTTTAGCTGCTGCTGTGAATAAACAGTTTAGAATGATTTCCGAACACCAGCCATTGCTAAAGCAGCAAACTAGGGGAAACCGTGGTTGCTTCACAGCTGCAGTTAAAAATTCCTGGTCGGGGTGCCTTGGCGGCTCAGCTGGTTAAGCGACTGACTTTAGCTCAGGTCATGATCTCATGGTTTGTGGGTTCAAGCCCCGTGTTGGGCTCTGTGCTTACAGCTTAGAGTCTGGAGTCTGCTTTAGATTCTATATCTCCCTCTCTCTGCCCTCCCCTGCTCACGCTCTCTCTCTCTCAAAAATAAATAAACATTAAAAAATTTTTTCTTAGTTCCTGGTCAGTTTAAATTCTCTGATATAGGACTATATTTTTAAGGCTTCATTTCTGGAAACTGCCTCCAAAATGTCCCTACATCCTCCCTTAATAGCCAATTTTTGTGTTTACCAACCTTGGGGGGAGCAATGTAATTCTGTTAAAAAGTCATAGTGCATAAATGAAATTGGGATTCCTGAATCCTTTTCATTATCCATGGCCTTCATTTGGCAAACCAGACATTATTCTCATTGCCAGGCATTGGAGGATTAGGGTGTAAGTTCTTACCGTAATACTTCTTTTATTTAATTACCGTTAAAATGACAATTCTCTACTCAGTCTTTTCTGTTTGGTGCTACAGAAATGCATAAGCAAATCACAGGATAACTAATATATTTGAGAGTAGTTTGGATTACAGGAAACTTTGTGGGGCTTATAACAACTTCTACATACCATTTTTGACTAATGAATTGAAGTGAGTGAAAGGAAAAATCATATATTTTCCCAATGGGTTTTCATACAAGTTTAAAGGAGTTTTTTAAAAAAAAACTTTTTAATCACAAATAATTGTCTGCCAAGGTCTAATTTGATCCCATCGATTCTCTTATCATTGTGCCCCACATTTTGCACATGGTATGCCCTGGTTCTCCTCAAAATTTAGAGCTGGAATAGATATTAATTTGTTGCAACATGAGATAAAGAAAAAACTGCCATGATTGCAGAATGATACCTTATAAAGTTTGCATTGGGCACATCTAAGATGGCCCAAAGTTCTGATTTTCACTGCATGGGGTACAATGACTGGATCCAGCCAAAAATTTGGATTCTTCTTTATCCAGGAGCATGTTAATGTTACTCAGGATAGACAATATGTGGGTACTGGGAATACTACAAGCATTTGGTACAGCTATATTCTCTTAACACCAGGGATACATGATCCCAACATCAATAATTTGACTTATGCTATTTTTATCTTTTCTACCATATTTTCTGGGATTAATAATAATATTTATTGTGCGATTACTAAGAATGGGACACTCTTCCAAGCACTTTACATAGTGATGACCATCTATTTTAGAACTTTTCCTAGAAAACAGAATGCATTTTCAGTTGCTGCACCATATTTTTAGATCTGCTTTTCAAGTCAAAATTATAATGGTGGTGCTAGCAATCTATTGCTCTTATCCTTAGAAATGATTAGATTTAGGGCACCTGGATGGCTCAGTTGGTTAAGTGTCCAACTTCAGCCCAGGTCATGATCTCACGGTTGGTGGGTTCAAGCCCTGCATGGGCTCTGTGCTGACAGCTCAGAGCCTGAAACCTGCTCAGGATTCTGTGCCTCACTCTGTCCCTTCCCTACTCATGCTCTGTCTCCCTCCCCCTCTTTCTCAAAAATAAATAAACATTTAAAAAAATGATTCATTTTGAGAGTAGGTAAATAATTGAATTGTCAACTCAACAATGTAATTTCACTGTTGCTTATTACAGGATGGCTTGTGGATACGACAGGCAGCTACACTGCAGCATTTCTGCTCTGTGGATTCTCAATGATATTTAGTTCTGTGTTGCTTGGCTTTGCTAGACTTGTAAAGAAGATGAAAAAAACCCAGCTGCGGTTCCTGGCCAAAGAGTCTGATCCCAAGCTGCAGCTATGGACCAATGGATCGGTGGCTTATTCTGTAGCAAGAGAGTTAGATCACAAGGATGAGGAATCTGTGGCTGTCGCAGTGCCTGGTTACAACCCCACATGACCAATGTCCTCGAACCTGGGAATCTTCAGGGCTGAGAGAGGTGGGAGCACCGGATTGTACGTGTCTCTGAAGCATCTTATTTTGGCAGAAGCACTGCCTTCCAAGGAAATTATTATTGTTGTTTTATTAACACGTTTATAGGGGAAAAAAGCAAATAACAAAGCAAGTTGGACTGGCTCAGAGTCCCCATCTGGGATTTGTGCTCACAACTGAACTCACATCTTTCAGGCAATGAGCATCACTCCATGGAGAATGTTGGGACATAGCTGATACAGTAAGTTGTAGTTGCGGGTAATTTCAAAGCATTACCAAAGCAGATGACATTGGGAAGCTTTGTCTCAAACTCTCTGGCCCTCCATCTTCCTCAATTAGAAGGTAAACAGAAACAATGACATGTAGGTGAGCTTACTTTATGCTTTTTTGGAGAAGGGGGTCTGTATTAATCACTGCCTTTGAAGAATCTAAAGTATTCTTCAACAACTCTGTTTAAAGCCCTAATGAGAAACTCCACTGAGAAAGGGTTGGCATCTTCACCACCCCCCCATCCAATGAAAGCTTTCTTCCTAAGACTGAGCCCCTCACCTCTGACCCGGCACTCACCTCTATTCCTATCGCTTATGATACTGAGTTTAGCAGAATACACCAAGTCACAAGGGTGATTCCTCAATCTTACCTGAAATGTTAACACCAACATTTCCTCTTTTTTTCTTTAGAAACAAAGCTTTTCTTGAAATCGCATACACATTCCTGTTAAGAACTGAAAAATGTTGGCAGTACTCCAGCTGGGCAGGAATTGAATTCTCAAATCAGCAGGTCTCTGATGGGAGTTTTCTTTTCAGATCAGACATTTAGGTTCATCATTACCCAAAAAGGAACTTGGGAGGTTTGCCTGAAAAACATTGTTCTAGAGATATTCTAAAGGTGAGATTCCTTTCTGCCTGTGTTAATTCTAGTTCCAATGTCCACTGCCCTTTACCTCTTTATGGATAATCATTAGAAACTTGATGGGTGTCTCTAGATGAATGAGAGGGCTTCAGGGGTTAACCTCAGCATCCTAGTGCTCTCATTAATTAGAGCTTTGTTCAGGGGAGAGGGAGAAGGTTAGGAAGGCTAGTGGTGTGATATTTTATAGTTCAAAGAACTCTTTCACATACTTTGCTCCTTGGATTAGCATAGTTTTCTATTCTCAAGTACTCTATTTTCCTATAGTTTGGGATAATTTCTGGCTCTTCAGAGGGAGGGTATCAGAGAGAAGAGAAAGGCCAGAGGCTCCAGGTGGTCTCCAACCACTTTAAATCCACAGAATGAGAGCCCTGAATCACCCAGTCATGTGATACCTGTAACTTAGGAGCACGTTACACAATTGAAAAGGGATTTTAACTATTGAAAAATATTCAGTCTGAATCTCAAAGAAATATTTTTACCCAGAAGGCCGTTGAATCCCTTGGGCAGTCTCACAAATGCCCAGCTAGCACTGAGGAAGATCCTAGGTTGACTAAGCATGTTCAACAAGAGTCTTTACCTATAACTGGATTATTTCATAAAATTACATATTAATACATACATTGCTTTCAGAATGAAGTACTGACGTGATTTAATGGAAGAAAACTAATATTCCACTGCTGTTTTCTAAAGATAAATTTGAATGTCGCCTGTTATCTTTTTACTTAGCTCAAGAATTTAGTTTTTAACCCATTTACTATGTCATTTGTAATCTAAAAACAATACTTGGAAAGTATCTGTAAAAGTCAAATTTACAGTGAACTTCTGTGTGTTTGGAATAGCACTTTACACTAAATATCATTTCTTGAATCTTTAAGCCTAAAGATTTTTTGAAATATAAATAGTTCTAAATATTCCTAGACATATTTTTTCCTAGTGGCCACAGTAAAATTTTGTTTCTCCTGTTATGCAATATGATTTCTCTGAAGTATTATATGTATTCCTGAAAAATGAGTATAGCAACCAGAGCTTTTAAAATTTTGTTTCAAATATGTGGGATATTTTTACTTTCTACATGCATAAATTTGTTTTTTACTTTCCCATTTGGAGTGCAATTTTAGAAAACCAGCCAGGAAAATGTAGATCTTAGAATCTACCACTGTCATCTCCATAAAATTTTACTGTTAAGGTTCCGTGTGCCTATACTGTTTATTTCAAAAGTGAGAGATCCGCGGGAATGATGTGTTTTGTGGAATCAAGAACAAAATTGTGGTAGGATGATTCTACATCTTAAATATGTCTTTACATCACTGTGAGCTCTAGTTTGAAACTGACTGAATAGAAAAGCAAAGAAACTAACTTCTATTGATACACTGTACCATTGGGCCTTTTTTTTTTTTTCAGATTGTGATTTTACTAATAGATCAGATATTTATGCTCATATTTTCTTATTTCAAAAACATAATAAAATGAGTTTATATTTGTGTTTGGAAAAACATTTTTCCTTGTACAAGGGGTTTGGATTGAATGGTGAGTGAACTTGTCTGGATTATGCTAAAATGTAGCTGGCATATAAAGACGTGGTAAACGATCAAGTAATTTACAAAAACCAAACCCATTTATTGAGTGTTTTCAATGTGTTAGCTACTGTGCTAATACTGCCTATGCATTGTATTATCTAATCCCCATAATAACCTCTATTATTATCATTTGATAGATGTGGAATCTGGGGCACCGCGTGGCCACTGCACTTTGCTGCCTCCAGTGAAGTCTGGTAAAGCTAGGAACCTATCTGATGCTGGCACCTGCCTGTTGCCCCTTGTGCCTACCTGGGTTATCTTTTTATGTGTGTTCAAAGAGCCATTTGGAAACAGGCCCTTCCTCGAGAAAATAAAAACCCTTTGGATTATGCTTCAATCTACCAATTCGTATAGATAGGAAGATTCTAGAATGGAAATTTCCAAGAGTTTTCCCTAGAGTCTGGTTCTAGCAAGACCACTACTTCCAGGCTACGTGGTTTAATTTGCTGTCTATTGATCCAGGCCTCTCTTTGGGAGCATTTATCGGTGTGTAGCAGAGAGAGGGAGAAGATTGGGAAGCATACTCTGTCCCAAAAGAGAATTCTACCTTCTGCATTACCAGAGTCATGCGTTCTCAGTCAACAGTTGAATTTTTTCTTATGTGCCTGCACCATTGCCCAGTGATGACAAAGGTGGTAATGTCTATCTGGCACTCACCTTCCTCGTCTCAATTCTGAAAATTGTTTATTGAGCTGAGGTCTAATTCTGAAAATTGTTTATTGAGCTGAGATAGTATAAATTCAAGGTAGATATCTGAGTTTCTCTTCTCATACTTCAAAGTTTGAGTCTTTATTTTTTTCTCTCCACTAAACAAGAGATTTTTATACCTGTTGCCAGAGCAGCTACTGGTGAGAGATGACTGGGATTTTGTCCCATAACACAGAAAAATATTTGGTAGGGGGGGAATGGGAAAATACTAAATCATGATTAAAAAGACTGACATTTAAAACAAAACATTATGGAACTTTTCAAACATGAACAAAAAAAACCCATTAAAATAAATGTGACATAACCACCACACAGCATCTATAATTATCTACCCTTTACCCTCCCCCTTGATGAAGCTATTTGAAATACATTAACATGCTGATAGGGCATGTCTTCCTTCAGCTGCCAGAGAATAACTGAACCTGGCAAGAATAATTTAAATACGTGCAAACAGAAGGTTTGGGTGGTTTAGTATCACCTGTTAATGGACCACATCATTACAAAGCTGATTGGGTCCGCTTTCTTACTGTGGACTTTGGGCACCTAAATTACAGGTTAAAACTCTTTTTCTGTCTTTCCCCAGCCCCCACATGATCTATTCACATGAAGCTTAAGAGGGTGTCAAATAAGTGAAAAGTGCTTTTGAATTCAGGAAAAAAGTGATGATTATTACTTTCGTTATTACTCTTAATTAAATTTTTTTCTATGTTTGTTTTTTAATTTTTGAGAGAGAGAGAAAAAGACAGAGTGTGAGCAGGGAAGGGGCAGAGAGAGAGGGAGACACAGAATCTGAAGCAGGTTCCAGGCTCTGAGCTGTCAGCACAGAGCCTGATGGGGGCTCAGACCCACAAACCGTGAGATCATGACCTGAGCCGAAGTTGGATGCCCAACCAACTGAGCCACCCAGGTGGCCCTACTTTTAATTATTTTAAGTGTCAGGGGCCTCTTTGAGGAGTAAAAACAGTGTGTGTATATAGATACATTTATTTAATACTTATTTTGGGGAGAGCACAAGCAGGTGAGGGGCAGAGAGAGGGGGACAGAGGGTCCAAAGAGGGCTCTGAACTGATAGGCTGACAGCAGTGAGCCCCATGTAGGGCTCAAACTCACTAACAATGAGATCTGACCTGAGTTGAAGTTGGATACACAACTGACTGAGCCACTCAGTTGCCCCTGTTTTTAAGGAATTGATGTATGGCCCACTTAAGATTTGAATTGACTTTAAAAGGCATTAAAATTAACATCTTAGAAGATGATCCTTAGGGCACCTGGGTAGCTAAGTTGATTGAGCCTCAAACTTCTTCGGCTTGGTTCTTGAGTTCAAGCCCCACATTGGGCTTTGCTGTCTGTGCAGAGCCTGCTTCGAATCCTCCATTCCCCACCCCACCCCCCGCTCCTCCCCCTCTCATGCTGTCTCTCAAAAATAGAAATAAAAATAAATTAAGGAAAATAAAAGACAATCCTTTTAGTTTTCCCATAAAATTGTTTCTCTTGTGATGGCAAGTTGGGTCTTCTCCCACTAACGCAATGACAGGAGAATGAGAGAGGCCCCAGTTCTAGCCGAGGTGTTCCCAGCGATCTTGTTTCTGCAACTTGGCCCTGAGCAGAGTCTGGGTGTGGCTCGGGGTGGGGAAGGAGATGCCAGTGAGGGATAGGGCCACGTGGTTACCTTTGATTCCAGCAGACTCTGAAAGCTTCTGGGTCTAAATTTGCTAATCCCTGCCCAAGCAGCAGTGGAAGAATTTGGACATCTGACTCTATTTTCAAAGTTCAGCAGGGAAGAGGAGACCCTGCTTTGGAATCACAAGTTACAGGCCTGGTGTGAGCACTGGGTACGCACACTGGAATATGGCCTACGAGGTCGTGCAGGGTGTAGCTCCTGCCTAACTGCCTGACCCTACGTTGGGCTACACTCTTGCTGCTCACTCTACTGCAGAGCCTGGCTCTCCAGGTCCCTCAGGTCATTTCACACATGTCGATCCTTCAGTATCCTCACTTCTCAACTTTTGAGCCACAATTTAAATGTCACTTTCTAGACAGCCTATCTTTAACCACTACCCCATCTAAGTTACATATCTGCACCCTCACCACCTTCATTACTCATTTTCATAACACTCTGTTCTTTTTCTTCAAAGACTATGTTTTAATTATAATTAATACTCATTTGTGTGGTTACTTTAAAATGCCATCTCCTCCACAAAACCACAAGCTTTCTGAAAATAGGGATCACACAGACTATTCACCAGTCAGTCCAGTGCCTAAAATATAGTAGCCACTCAATAGATACTTGGTGAATGAATAAATGAATGAAAAAAAAAAGCAAATGAAAACAAGAAGGAATGAAGAAACTGCTCAAGAGAAGTGTAACACAGCAGGGATGGGTCTGATTGAAGGACTGGGTTTGCTTGAAGTTGCTCTTGCACCCAAAACAGATAGGACATGTTAGATGTTCCCCGTTCGGTTGGCCTTAGTAAGACACTGGTGAGAAGTGTCACGTGAATAGTAGAGCTCCAGAGCACAGAGTAGGTTTGCAAAAGCAAATAAAGGTGGCAAAGAGAAGGGTTGGTAGATGTATACTATATAACTAAAACTTTCGATTGAGGCCCAAAAGTAAAAATGATATCACTGTGTTCAACTCAGACAGGCTTACTCAGAAAACTCGGTTGTGCTCAAATTGAATGGAAGGCCCTGGGGGTGGAGCACTGCACAAGGAGTCCTGGAACATTAGGGAAAGGTGGAGCATGTGTGCCTCATCCATGAGAAGAGCGGATTTCAGGAACAGGCACCACACCGGCCGCTTTTACTTTACTGGAAAATGACACCAGTATTTGGCCAGGAGCGGAAGTCTCTGGTTAATTTTTTGTACGGTCCTATGGCTGACCTCTAACTCAGGACATTACTGAAAATTAGCATGCTGGAAAATATTTTTAAGACTTGGTGAGAGGAATTTAATCAACTAAACTATGTATTAAGTGCCTCATCAGGATTTGATATTGTGTTTTTATGGTGGGGAATTGAAAATACATGTCACACAGCCCCCATGATTTCAAGTTAATTGCCTAATTGGTAAATTGAAGCCGTCACCATGAGAACAGCACCACGAAGTTGTTAAAATGCTGACCTGAGGCTAAGGGCACTGCATACTCTGGAGGTTAGAAGAGGAAGAATTCGTTAAGGGCTGGAAAAATTTAAGGCCAGTCCAAGCAACCCAGGTATAGGACCAAATGGGTTGGAATCAGCCTCTACTCTTTTCTTTTTAATTTTTTTAATGTTTATTTTTGAGAGACAGAGCATGAGCAAGGGAGGGGCAGAGAGAGAGGGAGACACAGAATCCAAAGCAGGTTCCAAGCTCTGGTCTCTTAGCACAGAGCTGGATGTGGGACTTTAACCCACGAACCATGACATCATGACCTGAGCCAAAGCCAGACGCTTAAACAACTGAGCCACCCAGGCACCCGGCCTCTACTCTTATTAAGGTAAGAAGCTGGGAGTGGGGGAAAGGGATGTGGGGTAGCTGCTTTACCTGGCTACTTGAGGTTCCAGCAGATAGATACCTGAGGCCAATACAGCACTAAGTTAACACTAATAAATGTTCTGATGAGGGGAATCATAAGGGTGTCTGGGACTTTCGAAATTGCTGGGATTTGGGGGTTGCATTTGGTGTCTTTAAGTTGAAAACAGGAATGTTCAGGGAATGGGGTTATACTTCAATATTCACTTCTTAACTCTAAATAGGAACCATTTAGGGGATCCTGGCTAGCTCAGCAGGAAGAGCATGTGACTTGATCTTGGGGTCATGAGTTCAAGCTCCACGTTGAGTGTAGAGATTACTTAAATAAATAAAACTTAAGAAAAAAATAAAAAGGAATCATTTGTAAGTTTTCTCTCTTAAAGTGTCCAGAACTTCAGGTTTTTTGTTTTGTTTTGGTTTGTTTTGACATGTTATGCAGTACTGCCATCTGCTGTAAGTATGAGACCACTTCCCCAATTTGCTGACTTCTCCAGTTATAGCTCAATTGGAGAAGGATAGCCTTCAAATAAACATTGAAGTTTGTTGTTTCCTTCTCCTCCAGCCCCCAGTTCCCTGCTCATTACCCATCCCACATTTTTCCTCTTCCTCTTGCAGCACAAACAAATACAGGTATAAAGATGTGTTGTATTTTTCAGAGTTTTGATTGTCTAGGTCAGTTTTCTATGTGGAGTATCAAAGTTAGTATGAATGATGG